AAAATACATTTTGCAATGTCTCAGTTATACACATAATTCAACTTAAAGTAACATCAGTGTGACTTCTGTTGTTGCAGATTAGATGACAAATAACTTATATTAGGTTGTAAGAGAGTGTCATTCAATTTCACAAATTCCTGCTTCAATATTTTGTTCGTAAAGTCAAGAATTTCAGGAATTCTGTTAAAAAATTTAAAACTTTCTAAGTTCTAAGTCTTGTTCTTTATTGAATTTAAAAACAAACGAAGATCAAGATGTTTTCTTCCTTACAGGGTGTTATATTGGGGAATGTATATATATAAATATATATATTTATATATATACATATATATATATACATATATATATATACATATATATATATGCGTGTGTGCATGTATATACTGTCCGTATTTAATAAGTGTCTATAACAGGAAAAGAGTTAAGCCATCATTCAAGCAATGTACTTCTTCATTAAGGAAATTGATATAAAAAAACAACAACTTCGTATTCGCATCATCAGAGTCGGCCCTATTACTGGAGAAATGCCAGGACTTATCTTATAATTTATTGTCGGCAGGATGCCCTCTACAAAAGAAAACAAAAAAAATGAGAGATTATTTTTCTCTTTGCTTCAGAAAAAACTTGGTAGCATTAGTAATTGTAAATACATATATATACGTATATACATTTATTTTTTCTAATCACTTTAAAAAGTACATTAGATAAATTTCATTTGGACTAAACAATTTCCAAAACAATGAATATTAATTAGTTATATACTTTAGTTTTCCCGAATAGAATATTGCAGTAAGTTGTAAATAAATGTTCAAAAATTGAAGTTCATTTTAAACGCATTTGTTTTTTCGGATTTTACTTAATTAAAAAATCTTCTTTTGTTTCGAAGATATCGTTTTAGTATTTGAATAACCATTAATTTTTGCAATGCTGTGTAGTTATACTATTTCTGATTTTTTTATTGATAGCTCAATTAAAGATCATATTTCTTTGAAAGAAGCCGAATGTAGCGTAAGATTTAAGTAAAATAATTCCTAATAATACAGTTTCTAAATTGATAAATAAGTATGTATGAATTTGTACATATATGAAGTTCCTAAAATTTACTCTGAGTTTTCTTAAGTTTTCATTTCATAAGTTCTATTTAAAAATATCATTGAAAATAAGGAAAGTGGTAAAGATTTATTCAAATATTATTCATTTTAAGAACGATTTTTATT